AAATGTCTCACAATTAATCAATTATACATAGAATAGTTTGAGTGCATCACAAGTCCGGTCAGACCGGTCGGGAGTGGGATTAGACTTCTAACTCATAAGTTATTGCTTTCAACAACTGTTAGTTAAAAACAAATAAAATCACTCGTTTTGACATCGAATTGAACTCAATGTTGGCTCCATTTAATAGTCTTAATATCGATGCCCTCCTCAACCATTTCCCATAGAGGACTCATAGCCCGCAACCTCTTGACGTGATGAATGCACTTCTCGGCCGTATAGTCCATCTCTTCTTCGGTAGAAAACCTTCCGATTCCAAAGCGAATGGAAGAGTGGGCTAAGTCTTCGTCCGAACCGATAGCTCTCAACACATACGAGGGCTCTAATGAAGCCGAAGTGCAAGCGCTGCCCGACGAGAGGGCCACGTCTTTCAGCGCCATTAGAAGACTCTCTCCTTCAACGTAAGCAAACGATAGGTTAACACATCCGGGATATGAATGGTCCGGATCTCCATTTCGGATCACTTTTGTTAGTTCGGCGCTTATTTTATCGACAAGTCTTTTCGATAGGTATTCAACCCATTTGTGGTCGTATTCGAGCTCTTGTTGAGCGATAGCACAGGCGGTGCCGAAGCCAACGGTCAATGGTGTCGGCACTGTTCCGCTTCGGATCCCCCTTTCCTGTCCGCCACCGCTTTGCAGAGCTTCGACGCGAACTCTGGGCCTTCTCCTCACATAAAGAGCGCCCACGCCTTTCGGGCCGTATATTTTATGACCACTTATTGACATCAAATCAATATTCAAATCGTTAACATTGATGGGAATCTTTCCGACGGCTTGCGCGGCGTCGGTGTGAAAGAACACACCTTTGGATCGACACAACTCTCCGATCTCTTTAATCGGTTGTTTGACTCCAATCTCGTTGTTGACGGCCATAATGGAAACCAAAGACGTCCTCTCATTCATCGCATCCCTCAAGACATTCATATCAATAACGCCCGAAGACTGGACCGGAAGATAAGTGACT